GCACTGCTGGTCACGGCTGACCGCCAGCTGGAGCGCTCAAGGACCTTTGCTTCTTCCAGCACGCCGACGTTTGTCTTCCCATAAGATTTGCAGGATTTTCCGGAGGCAGCTCTGATGGAATCATTCCAGGAGTTGCATAAGACAACTGTAGACAGTCCACGTTTCGCAGGCATATAGCAGGGTTGAGAGGACAATAGTTTTATAAACAAGCACTTTGGTATCCCTACGGATGTCCCGGTCCTCAAACACTCTCTGCTTCATTCGGAAAAATGCTGCACTCGCAGAGCTCAGGCAGTGTTGCATTTCGGTGTCAATGTTGACTTTGGTTGAGAGGTGGCTGCCAAGGTAGTGGAAATGGTCAACATTTTCTAATGTTACACCATTAAGCTGTATTTCTGGCACTGGAGAGGGATTGGCTGGTGACTGCTGGAACAGCACTTTGGTTTTCTTTGGCACCCCTTATACACATTTTAGTGCCTCAAATATTAAGACCTGTTTCTGGGTATATTTGATTCCAAAAATGTCACCACTTTTCCCCTATCAGCTCTAATATTTAAGATATAGAACATATGTGATCTGCCAGTTGCCATCAGGCTCGCCCATAGAAAACCGTAACAGTGTCTAAGAAACTAGTGTGGATGCAATCAATACAATGCAATTTTCTGATTCAGTGACCCAAATAACCCCAGAAAGAGAACTAAAAACCAAGGCACCAATATTTTTGTTGTTGGGCTTTGTGGTTTGCTTTCATTCTAAGCAACTGAAAAAGGCAGATTATGAAGATTTCCTAATTTATTTAAAACATTCTATTTCTTAACCTCTCTATATACTTTAAATGCAGCCTCTGAGTTTTCAAAAGCACTATTTGTTTTCAAATCACCCAGGGAACAAGCAGCGCAAACCATCCTAAGGCAATGTACACAAAAGCCTGCGCATGCGCAGAAAGCCGTCTCCTCCCTGACCGAGTTGGCTTGAATTGAGGGAGACGTTGATTTCCGTGCTTGGCCAGTAGGTGGCACTGTCTGCGAGCTAACGAGGATTAAGGGTGCATTTACACTGTAGAATTAATGCACTTTGGCATCAATTTAATTTGCATGGCAAATACTATAGAATCAGGAGACTTGTAGCTTGATTATTTACATGTGCTATTTAACAACAACAACAACAACAACACTTTATTTATATATCCTTCTATCTCCCCTGGGGGACTCAGGGCAGTTTCCAAATTGTTAAAACACAAAACCATACAGAGTAAGCAAAACAAAAACAAAAACAAAACAGAAAAACAAAACAAAACAATACATAAGCATAAAATAGTCAAACAACACAATAAAAACCAATCGACCTTATTTGGAAGACAAGGCTAATGATCTTGGAGAACTATAAGTCCCACAATTCCATAGCATTGAGCCATGATGTCAAACTGCATTAATTCAACCTTGTAGGTACATCCTATGGACCACCTACAGGGTGATGTCCAAATGATACAGGTGGTCTGGGGTCTTGGGATCAATTTAATTTAATTTGCATGGCTCAATACTACAGAATTAGGAGGCTTATAGCTTGATTATTTACATCTGCTATTTGGCAGAGAAGGCTAATCTTGTAGAACTATAAGTCCCACGATTAGGAAATGTGGGAGTTGAAAACACTGGAGAGCCAAAGTATGCCCTTTTTTTTTTCATGTCAGGAGCGACTTGAGAAACTGCAAGTCACTTCTGGTGTGAGAGAATTGGCCATCTGCAAGGATGTTGTCCAGGGGGTGCCGGGATGTTTGATGTTTTAACATCCTTGTGGGAGACTTCTCTCACGTCCCTACATGGGGAGCTGGAGCTGACAGAGGGAGTTTAACTCGCTCTTCCCAAAGTCAAACTGCTAACCTGTTGGTCAACAGTCCTGCCAGCCCAAGGGTTTAACCCATTGCACCACTGGGGGCTCCATGCCTGCCCATGCCTGGTGTAGGCTCATATAATGCAGTAAACTGCATTGAACTGCGTTACATTAGTCTCTATACTAACCATATAATGCAGTTTCAAATAACATTATATGGCAGTGTAGGTGGGGTCCCAGTGTCCGTAGTATTTTGAAGACGTGGGAGCAAATGGACCTTAGGAATTGAAACAAAATGATGCTATAATGTTGTTTGAACTACAGGCCTCCTTGTTGTTTCTGTACTGGGGTGCCAAAATAACTACACATCTATCTATCTATCTATCTATCTATCTATCTATCTATCTATCTATGTAACTGAATTTTAGATAGTGAGGTGCAGTCTGCTGAAGCAATGACTTGTGTGCTCATAGACCAAATGTAGCATGTACTCTGGTTTAATTTGCGTAAAAGCACATCAAGATTAAGAGGAAAACAATTCTTTGCAGTGGATGGGAAAGTACATTAAGGGATTAGTGGGAGAGCAGATCATATAACTAGCATCACCCACCCTGGCCTTGCTGTGGTTGCATTAGAGCTCACACAGCCACAAACAAGTTTGTGGCTGTGTGAGCTCTCTAGTAATGTATTTTTTTTTGGTGGGAGCTGTGCTGTTGTAATTTTAGAGTTTTTTAATACTGGTAGCCAGATTTTGTTCATTTTCATAGTTTCCTCTTTTCTGTTGAAATTGTCCACATGCTTCTGGATTTCAGTGGCTTCTCTGTGAAGCCTGACATGGTGGTTGTGAGAGTGGTCCAGCATTTGTGTTCTCAAATAATATGCTGTGTCCAGGCTGGTTCATCAGGTGCTCTGCTATGGCTGACTTCTCTGGTTGAGTTAGTCTGCAGTGCCTTTCATGTTCTTTGATTCGTGTTTGGGCAATGCTGCTGCGTTTGGTGGTCCCTCTGTAGACTTGTCCACAGCTGCATGGTACACAGTAGACTCCTGCAGAAGTGAGAGGATCCCTCTTGTCCTTTGCTGAACGTAGCATTTGTGGGATTTTCTTGGTGGGTCTGTAGATAGTTTGTATGTTAAAAAAAACTCTAAAATTACAACAGCACAATAACAGAGAGGAAACAAACAAGGACATCTAATCACCTCTCAACAAAAGTTTGTCCAGGCACTGTCAGGCCATTATATGCTAATCAAGGTGGAGCCCCCGGTGGCGTAGTGGGTTAAACCCCTGTGCCGGCAGGACTGAAGACCGACAGGTCGCAGGTTCGAATCCGGGGAAAGGCAGATGAGCTCCCTCTATCAGCTCCAGCTCCTCATGCGGGGACATGAGAGAAGCCTCCCACAAGGATTATAAAAACATCAAATCATCTGGGCATCCCCTGGACAACGTCCTTGCAGACGGCCAATTCTCTCACACCAGAAGCGACTTGAGGTTTCTCAAGTTGCTCCTAACACGACCATGCTAATCAAGGAAGTCAGTTCAAACATGCACACCTAGCTCCAGCAGACAAAAGTCCTTTGTCCCACCCTGGTCATTCCACAGATATATAAACCCTTTTTCCTAGTCCCAACAGACCTCACTACCTCTGAGGATGCTTGCCATAGATGCAGGCGAAACGTCAGGAGAGAATGCCTCTAGAACAGGGGTCCACAAACTTTTCAAACTGAGGGCCAGGTCACAGTCCCTCAAAATGTTGGAGGGCCGGATTATAATTTGAAAAACACATGAATGAATTCCTGTGCACACTGCACATATCATATCTTATAGTGCAAAAAACACTTAAATGCAATACAATAATTAAAATGAAGAACAATTTTAACAAATATTATTATTTAGACTACTGCAACGCTCTCTATGTGGGGTTGCCCTTGAAGACGGCCTGGAAGCTCCAACTGGTCCAACGTGCGGCATCCATGATACTAACAGGAACAGGACGCAGGGAGCACACAACTCCCTTGCTGTACCAGCTCCACTGGCTGCCGATCTGCTACCGGGCTCAATTCAAGGTGCTGGCATTGGCCTATAAAGCCCTAAACGGTTCCAGCCCAAGATACCTAACTGACCGCCTCTCGGCCTATGAGCCCACGAGGATTTTGAGATCTTCCGGGGAGGCCCTGCTCTCGATCCTGCCTGTGTCACAGGCACGGCTGGACGAGAGATAGGGCCTTCTCGGTGGTGGCTCCTCGGCTGTGGAACACCCTTCCCATAGACATCAGGCTAGCCCCCTCCCTGTTGATATTCTGCAGGAAGCTAAAGACCTGGCTGTTTAAGAAGGCATTTGAATAGAAGTGCAATGACTGGTAACTTGACCATAGGAATGGAACAATGGAAATGGTATCGGATTGTGAACTTGACGATGAGACGACTCGGAATGGCTTTGTAATAATGTTGATGTTTTTGATGAGCTATTTTGATAATGATGTACTGCGGATTATTTTTCACTATGTTTGTATTTTGCACCTGTTTTTCTATGTTGTACACCGCAATGAGTCGCCATTAGGCTGAGAATTGCGGTATATAAGCGTAGTAAATAAATAAATAAATAGTATTTCAATGGGAAATGTGGGCATGCTTTTGGCTGATGAGATAGGATGGTTGTTGTTGTCACCCCTTTGAGTCGCCTGAGGGCTGAGAAAAGCGGTATATAAATAAAAGTAAATACATTGTTTTGTGCTTTAAAGTCGTTTCAGACTTAGGTTGACCCTGAGCGAGGGCCGGGTAAATGACCTTGGAAGGCCGTATCTGGCCCTCGGGCCTTAGTTTGAGGACCCCTGCTCTAGAACATGGCCATATAGCCCGAAAAAACCCACAACAACCCACTCTTCAGACTGTCAACATTCTCCCTGAATTGTGGTATCCAGAACTGGAGAGAGGATTCCAGGTGAGGTACCATCACACTAGGGAAAAATCCACTGAAAATCCGGTTTCTGCCTCCTGCAGAATTCTGGGGTTTGTAGTTTAGGGAGGAGCCTTTAACAGCCTTACTAACCTACAAACCTCAGAGCTCTGTAGGAGGCAGAAACCGGATTTGAAGTGGATTCATTCTCTCGTGTGAAGAGGCAGACAGCCAAACATAAGGCGCAGAGCTTAGCTTTCCTGGGCAGAGGCAGGAGCGCCCCTTGTGCAAAAGGTGGGGAGAAAGCTCTCCAAGGGAAGCCAGCCTCCTCGCCTGAAATCCCGGGAACTTCCCGTAAAAGATGCGGATGAGTTTCCGAGTGCGGAGCCATGTGACTCCCCGAGGCTGCCAATGCCCGGCGCCTGGCTCGGATTTCAGTCCCAGCGCCTTGCCTCCTTCAGCCATGTGTCTCCGGAGCAGCGCGGAGGAGCGTTGGGCGCGGAGGGGCGCTTGGTAAAGCGAGTGGGGGGCCCGCAGGAGGACCAAGCAGCCCCAGCAGCCTCGCATGCTCCCATTCCCTCGCCATTACTTCTGCCAGACCCTTGGGGAAGGATGGGAGCCGGCGCCTTAGCCATCTGTGTGAGTACAAGCTGCCTCTTGTCTGTAGCGATTAGTGCGTGAAAAAGTAGCTGCTGGTGTGTGGTCCCGATGCGGGCAGGGAAAACAGGGAATTACACCCAGTATATTTCTGTAGCACTGCTCTATATGTTTTGGCTCAGAAGAAGAAACTCGCCTCAGTCCAGACCAGCCCCAATTCCCTTTTGACTGTAGTTTTCTTTACAGAGATCAGACTCAGAAAGTAATTCAGCTTTCATAGCCGGAATCACTGGGTTGCTGTGAGTTTTCCGGGCTGTATGACCATGTTCCAGAAGCATTCTCTCCTGATGTTTTGCCCACATCTATGGTAGGCATCCTTGGAGGTTGTGAGGTCTGTTGGAAACCAGGCAAGTGAGGTTTATATATTTGTAAAATGTCCAGGGTGGGAGAAAGAACTCTTGTCTCTTTGAGGCAAGTGTGAATGTTGCAATTGGCCAGCTTGATTAGCATTTAATGGCCTTGCAGTTCCAAGGCCTGGCTCGTTGCTGCCAAAGAAATCAGGGCCAGCTAACACCTCCCAACAAAGGATTCCCCCAGGCAGCAACGAGTCAGGTTTTGAAACTGCAAGGCAATTGAATGCTAATCAATTATTATTTGGGTTGTTGTAGGTTTTTTCGGGCTATATGTCCATGTTCTAAAGGCATTCTCTCCTGACGTTTCGCCTGCATTTATGGCAAGCATCCTCAGAGGTAGTGAGGTCTGTTACAAAGGACATCTAATCACCTCTCAACAAAAGTTTGCTCCAGGCATTGTCAGGCCGTTATATGCTAATCAAGGTAGTCAGTTGAAACATGCACACCTAGCTCCAGCAGACAAGAGTCCTTTGTCCCACCCTGGTCATTCCACAGATATATAAACCCTTTGTCCTAGTTCTAACAGACCTCACTACCTCTGAGGATGCTTGCCATAGATGCAGGTGAAACGTCAGGAGAGAATGCCTTTAGAACATGGCCATATAGCCCGAAAAAACCTACAACAACCCAGTGATTCCGGCCATGAAAGCCTTCGACAATAAATTATTATTATTTATTTCCAATATTTCTACCCCGTCTCTTCTCTGTCCCTGAAGGGGGACTCAGGATGACTTACACCTGGCAACGATTCGATTCGATGCTGCTACATATACACAATTACAAAAAATACAATAATACAAATGCAAAAATACAATAACCACTAAAATACATAAGGCATTAATTTAAAACTGAACATAAAGCATTAATTGAAGCAATAAGAGTCCTCAGCTGTATTGCCTTACCAGTCTATTTCCAACCAAAGTGCTAATTTAAGTCTGCTGTCCAAAAGCCTGGTCCCAGAACCACAATTTCAATTTCTTCCTGAAAGTCAGGAGGAATGGAGCTCATCGTATCTCATTTGGAAGTGCATTCCACAGGTGGGGGGCCACAGCCGAAAAGGCCCTGTCTCATCCCTGCCAGACGTATTTGCGATGTTGGCGGGAGCAAGAGCAGGGCCTCCCCAAATGTTCTTAAATTATGAGGTGGGATGTAGAGGCAGATGTGTTCGGACAAGTAAGCTGGGCCAGAACCGTATAGAGCTTTATAGGTCAAAACCAGCACTTTGAATTTGGCTCGGAAGTGGACTGGCAGCCAGTGGAGCTGACACAACAAGGGGGTGGTATGCTCCCTGTATGTAGCTCCAGTTAGTAATCTGGATGCCACTCATTGGACTAGCTGAAGTTTCTGAACTGTCTTCAAAGGCAGCCCCATGTAGAGTAATCAAGGTGGCCAATTGCAACATTCACACTTGCCTCAAGCAGACAAGAGTTTTTTCTCCCACCCTGGACATTCCACAGATAGATAAACCTCACTTATTTTCCAACAGACCCCTCGACTTCCTCTAACATCAGGAGAGTATGCTTCTGGAACATGGCCATACAGCCTGGAAAACTCACAACAACCCAGAAACTAGTTGGCTTGAGTTTTGGTATGACTTCCAGTGTTAATCTCCACTTCATTTCATGATGATGCAATGAGTGGATGTTTACTTTCAACAATACATCCTGAAAGTCTGGCCTCTCTCTTAAACATGTACTTGATGTTTTAGATATACTTCTAAAAACACACCCAAAGAAATGGCATCCATAAAAAATGTAGTCTTTTTTTTCCTTTTCTTTAAAATTAAAACTCTGAATTTGATTTACAGTTCATTCCACTTCAGGTTGAACATTCTTTATCCAAAAACGCATGGGACTGGAAGAGTGCCATATTTCAGATTTTGGAATACTTGTATATATCTATAGGTGATAGTAATGTATAACATGTAATGAAATAGTGGCATTCATTGATTAAACATTAATGCAGGGGTCCTCAAACTAAGGCCCGAAGGCTGGATACGGCCCTCCAAGGTCATTTACCCAGCCCTCACTCAGGGTCAACCTAAGTCTGAAGTGACGTGAAAGCACACAACAACAACAATCCTATTTCATCAGCCAAAAGCAGGACACACCTTCCATTGAAATACTAATAAGTTTATATTTGTTAACATTGTTCTTCATTTTAATTATATTGTTTTAGGTGTTTTTTGCACTACAAATAAGGTATGTGCAGTGTGCATAGGAATTCATTCATGTTTTTTTCAAATTATAATCCAGCCCTCCAACAGTTTGGGGGACTGTGACCTGGCTCTCTGTTTAAAAAGTTTGAGGACCCCTATATAATATATATATATAATTAGATAAGGCAACGGTCATACACTCCAGAAACAAAACAGCACCCCAGATAGTGGAATTCATTGATCTTTCATGTACATGTTTCAAGCCTACAGAATCCTAAGAGTAGTAGTTTGGTGAAACAGGGAATTATAAAAGTATTCAGTGCTAATCAAGGTGGCCAATTGCATGACTGCATGGAGTGCTGGCATGGATATCAGCAGAAAGGGCGGTTTATGCATATGATGTGGGAATGCGAACAGGTACAATACTTCTGGCAGACAATAAAAATGTGTCAGATCAAATATTAGGAACTGATTGGCTTATAACAAAAGAGATGGTGGTCTTAGTAAAAAGAGAGGGAATGGGAAATTACAGGGAAATGAAGGAAGCAATAATTGAGTGCACACAAGCGGTGATAGTATTGGGATGGAAAGACAAATCAAAGTGGACAATAAATAAATGGTATCAGTATATGGTGGACCAAATAGAATTGTGTCCAATTCTGGGTTCCACAATTGAAGAGAGATGTTGACAAGCTGGAATGTGTCCAAAGGAGGGCGACTAAAATGATCAGGGTTCTGGAGAACAAGAATTGTAAATGCTGTGTATATGTATAGCTTTCATCACACTAGAGAAAAATCCACTTAAAATCTGTTTTCTGCCTTCTGCACAGTTCTGTAGTTTAGTGAGGCTGTTAAAGGCTCCTCCCTAAACTACAAACTCCAGAATTCTGCAGGAGGAGGAAACCAGATTTTAAGTGGATTTTTTCTCTATAGTGTGATGAGGCTATAGTAGGCTATAGTAGCCTCATCACACTAGAGAAAAATCCATTTAAAATCTAGTCTCCAGGGCAGGAGAAAACAAGCTTGATCCTTCTTCCCTATGACTTCACCTCACATCTTGATACATGGCCCTCATCTTGTCTCCTCTCTGTCTTCCCTTTGTCAGGTTGAATATGCCCAGTGTGTGTCCTAAAATTGTGTGTGTGTGTGTGTGTGTGGTGTCCAATTGCAACATTCACACCTGCTTCAAGGAGATAAGAGTTCTTTCTCCCACCCTGGACATTCCACAAATATAGAAACCCCACTTGCCTAGTTTCAGACCTCACAACCTCTAAGGATGCCTGCCATCGATGTGGGCGAAATATCAGAAGAGAATGCTTCTGGAACATGGCCATACAGCCCAGAAAACTCACAGCAACCCGATTTCATGTACAGCTTCTACATGTAGCCTGAAGGTGTTTTTATATAGTTTTATAGTGTGCATGAAAATAAAGTTACGTACCATCAGAGAGCAGAAGTTTCACTGTCTCAGACACCAATTTGGACATTTTGGGATTTTGGAGGATTTCAGAATTCCAGATCAGGGATGCTCAACCTATATTTCCAATAGCATCTGGACAGAAATTACACCTGCTAGAAGTAGTTTTCTATTATCAATTCTGTTTCTGTGACTGATTGCTACCTATTATTTTATTTATTTATTTATTTACTACATTTATATTTATATTTACTACATTTATATATGTGATTGATTGTTACTTATTCTGAGTCTGTTATTCAAAACAGAGTCCCATTGAGACAGACCTGGGTATAGGGTGGCAACCTGTGCTGGACGGGTTGCACTCCCCCTGAAGTCGCAGGTCCGCAGTTTGGGGGTCCTCCTGGATTCTTCACTTACATTTGAGGCTCAGGCGTCGGTGGTGGCCGGGAGGGCCTTTGCACAATTAAGACTCGTGTGCCAACTGCGACCGTACCTCGGGAAGGCGGATATGGCCAAAGTGGTCCATGCTTTAGTCACCTCTAGACTGGATTACTGCAATGCACACTACATGGGGCTGCCCTTGAAAACGGCCCGGAAATTTCAGATGATCCAACGGGTGGCGGCCAGGTTGTTAACTGGGGCGCCTTACAGGGAGCGGTCAACCCTCCTGTTCAAGGAGCTCCACTGGCTGCCATTCATTTTCCGGACCCAATTCAAGGTACAGGTTCTTACCTACAAAGCCCTGAACGGTTTGGAACTCGCCTACCTGCTTGACCATATCTCTGTATACGAACCCACATGATCCCTTCAATCATCCGGGGAGACCCTGCTCTCGATCCCACCAGTATCGCAGACGTGGTTGGTGGGGACGAAGGAGAGGGCCTTTTTGGTGGTGGCCCCTCGACTCTGGAACTCACTCCCTAAAGACATCAGACAGGCCCCAACTTTGGCAGTCTTTAGGAGGAGCTTGAAGATGTGGTTGTTCCAGTGTGCCTTCCCGGAATAATGATCCCATAGCACTTTGTCCTCCAAAGCACTTTACATTTTTTAGGTCTGCTCGTATGCCCTTCTACAAATGCCACTATCACCTTTTCGTCCATGTCCCAGCATTATTTCCATTTTAACTTTACATTTGGCCTTCCCACTGTTTTAATTGCTTGTTATCTTACTGATAATGTTGTATATTTTATTGTCTGTGTTTTTATTTTAATTGCTTGTACTGTTGTTGTTATTGCTTGTATTGTTGTATTCGGCCTCGGCCTCATGTAAACCGCACCGAGTCCCTTGGGGAGATGGTAGCGGGGTACAAATAAAGTGTTATTATTATTATTATTATTATTATTATTATTAAATAGGATTCAGTCTCAAACAGTGGGGTGTAAGGTTGATACTATAGGAATTTTAGGCTCCAATTGTATACATTTTTTTTTACGTCTGAGCAAACATACACTGAATATTGCTCTGAAAATCAGTTCCTTCCCACTCACCCAGTCTTGCACCCAAAAGTATCATATTTTTACAGTTCTGCCTTTCTATATTTTAGCGCCCCAACATTGTTTCCAAAAGCTTTTCAGAGAATGCTTTTACAACTCAGAGTTGTATAAGTGGTAGGCCCTGTGTCTTGTTTTCAAGGGGAGAAAAAAAAGAAAGCCTCACATTAGATAAACCCAATTTGTTTTTCAAAGCAGGATTCTCACCCACCCCCATACTCTGGTTTCTTTTCTTTTGGTTCTCTTTCTGTCAGACTTCCTAAGTGACAATGGCTGCTGTTAATCCTCTGTGCAGCTGATCTCCAAAGGGGCTTACTCCTAAGCAGGCCTGTGCATGTTTGCTGCAGATATGGGTATGTTTGAAAGCAAGGTTCTTAAAAAAAAAAACAAATAGAAGAGTCACACACATACACCACCTTCTTTTAGTCTAGCACTGCAAGCAGGCTGATTTTTTAAATGGCGTTTGAGAAAGGAAGCTTATTTTTAAGTCTATGCATGCATAATTGTGTGTGAAAAATCTAATCTTCAAATTGACTCTACACATTGGATATAGTGTGCGGTTTAGCCCATGTCACAGAGAGCAAGCATACAATCATGGTTTGAGAATTAAACTTTGGTTGGCCCTGAGACCAGGGTTTAAAATGTTCACAAAGCCATTAAACCTGCTGCGTGATCTTGGGTACATCACACTCTCTCAACCTCACAGAATGGGAAAAGCCACCCCTCACTGCACAGATCTTGCCAAGGAAACCTATGACAGGTATGCCTTAGGGTTGCCACAAGTCAGAAATGGCTTGAAGTCACACAACAGAATAAAAAGTCAGACTTGGCCATGGTGGTCCATGCTCTTATTACATCTTGTATAGACTACTGCAACACACTCTACGTGGGGGTTGCCTTTGAAGACTGTTCAGAAGCTTCAAGTAGTCCAAAGGGTGGCAACCAGGTTTCTAATTGGAGCAACACATAGGGAGCATACAACCCTCCTGCTGAGCCAGCTCCATTGGCTGCCGGTTTGCTACTGAGCACAATTCAAAGTTCTGGCTTTAGCCTATAAATCCTTAAATGGTTCCGGTTCAGCTTACCTATCCAAACATATCTCCCTTTATGAGCCAGGTAAAGCATTAAGATTGACTGAGAAGGTCCTGCTCTTGGTTCCGCCACTTTCACAGGTGCAACTGGTGGGAACAAAAGACGGCCTTCTCAGTGGTGGCCCCTTGGCTATGGCACTCCTCCCCAGAGAGATCAGATTGGCCCCCTCCCTCCTGACATTTAGGAAACTACTGAAGAGGTGGCTTTTAAATCAAGCATTCGGGGAGTGAGATGAAGCAGTCAAGATAACTTTGGTATTGGTGCAATGTCAAATGTTTTATGTTTGCCTATGTCCAGTGTTTATAGTTCAGTGGTTTTAATTCATTATTGTATGCTATTTTAGTGATGTGATGTATTTTATATTTTGTGAGGCATTGGATTTTGCCAATTACTTGTTGTGAACCACTTTGAGTCCCCCTAGGACAGTGGTTCCTCAGGTATTTTGGCCTGGGGAAATCCTTTGTTGAGAGGTGATTAGCTGTCCCTGATTGTTTCTTGTCTGAAATTCCTGTGTTTCTGAGTGTTCTCTATTTACTGTTATTATTTTAGATTTGTTTAATAGTGCTAGCCAGATTTTGTTCATTTTCATGGTTTCCTCCTTTCTGTTGAAATTGTCCACATGCTTGTGGATTTCAATGGCTTCTCTGTTTAGTCTGACATGGTAGTTATTAGAGTAATCCAGCATTTCTGTGTTCTCAAAGATTTCGTTTGTCCTCTTGACATCTGAGGTTGCTTGAGTTGTATGTTTTTAAAATGTAAGCTGACAACTTCCATGATTGATATTTTGGCTTCAAAGACTTTCCTCTTTCATTACACAGGGAGATTTGGCACCTTGCCTCAAAAGGCCCAGGTTTGGTGCAGATCTACAGAAAGTAATGGTCCATAGACTGGCACCAGTCCACAAACTATTAGATGTTGGCTCACAAAATGTTTCCAGGAAAGAAGAAATAGTTGCAGTCAGTGGGCACAAATGTGATGCCACTCCTTAGCACATTGTGGGGAAAATTCTGCCAGTCTGACATGTAAACAGATTAAGAGGCAATGATTTCTTTTCTTTTCTTTTCACTATTATTTTTGGTGTTTTATCCATTTATGTGGATACTCCGAGATCCGGGTGTGTTTATAATGGCTTCCTTTCATGTTCTCAGATAACATAAATAATATTTTAAAAGCATTATCTTGCAGTTCCTGTTCTTTCCATCTCTTGTCTCTTTCCCTTTGGATCTTTTTGGCATGGTTTTGTGTATATCTGTGCAGAAGTTACACCATAGTGTTCAATGAGACTTACTCCCTGAAAAGCGTGCCAAGTGTTGCTGCCTTCATTCTTGAATGCTGTTGAGCAGGAATTAATGTTGCCAAGTTATCAAAACAATAACAAAGGACAATCAAAATTCATCATGTGCAAAGTTAAAGAAACAACCGTCAACAAGATGTGTTCTATGTAAATACCAAATGAAAATGATTCAGTTAGTTTAGACTTGTCACTCTCTGTAAAATGTAAAATGAAAAATTATACGATGCACATATTTCTGTCTTTATGAAAGGTCCTCACTCCAAAATATGAGATTTTTGGGGTGTCTTGTTAAGCTTATATAAAAAGGAAAGCTTTCCAACACACAAATATAGGACATCCCATGTAATAAATAATACCTACCAGTCCTATAAGAGACAAACTTTATGTCTCTCAAATAAGGGACATTGCTTATAATAAGGGATACATGGCAACCTTATCAAAATGGACACTCTGTTCAGTCTTATTTGCTCTGTCAGATAATTTGAATGAATTTAGAATAGTTGTTCAGAACTAGTTTCCCTTCATTTACTTCAGAATTAAGATGTTTACATCATTGAGGATTATAAAACATACATGCAAATCTGACCCAACAAGGTGGATGAAGCCTACCAACTTGTATTGCGGTTCAACATCTTTGTTTCTTCTTTACCAGGTTGCTAGAGACTGTGGAATTAAGCTTATTAAACATCTGTCTGGTCACAGATAATGTAATATTGGGATGCTTACAAATTGGCAGCTCACATGGTGTCTGTATTTGGTTTAGTATTTGTAAATGCCTGCAAAAATGAATGCAACGAATGCAAACAGAGTTAGGTAATCCCTTTATTTAGATCACACAAAATCCCACACAAGTGTGCAAGCTCTGGGGTTCAAAATGTAAGGAGTGTAGAAAGGAGAAAAACTTGATTTATAGTATCCTGAACACAGTGTTTGTGTGTTTAGAAAAGCAAACATCACAATCTTGTGGATTACGCAATGGGCTAAATGGTTCAGTCCCTACTCTATGCCTTATCCTATATAATTTTCCTTCTAAATAGTTATTTGTTTTGGCCAGTCACTAGGGAAAAAAGGAGTAAATAAAATATACCATTAAAATAACATTAAATATAAAGCATTTTACCATTTGGCTATGGCTCTGGAGACTAGGGTTCAATTCTCCAGTGAGCCATGGAAATCCACAGGGTGAGTCACACTCTCTCAGCCTCAGAAAACCTTATGAAAAGTCCATCTCAAGGGTCACCATAAGTCAGAAACAATTTGAAAGTGCACAAGAACAATATGAAGATACTGTAAAATTACAACTCCCACTATTCCACAGCAGTTGAAGACATGTCAGACTGCATTAATTCCACAGTGTAGACACATCCATGAATGTGTGGAAAACAGCTTATAGAATAGTGTATAGCTGAAACTGCTGCATAAGAACTCAGTTGTTTTCCATTGCCTTGCAAGACTTACTTAGCTCTTTCTTTTTATCTGTACTTCTCCTTATGCTGGTGTTTCGGTGGAGAAGGTTGCCATTCACCGACAGTCCTTTTCTTTCCGCTCCACCCACAGTTGCTCTGGTGATGCAGTTTGAGTGCTTAGAAGTTATCCACTCATGTTGCTTGGCTACCCATTGAGAAACTCCTCCTTGGGAGTGTCCTTTTCCCTCTTTTCCATCCTATATGGGTGTGTGCATGTTTTTATCCCAGATTTTTTTCTGGGGTGAACTTTGCCGTGAATATATGTCTCCAAGAGCCATGCAGCCCCCTGTTGTAACACTGACGGACTGTTCTGCCTTTCTCTGCTCTTTCAAGCAAAGTAAATCAGCAGTGAAGCTGAAAGAAGACATGAAAAAGATTGCCTGCGCACCATTGAAAGGGCAGAGGGGCAACCCTGGTCGGAGAGTGTTTGGCACAAACCTTCTGGAGCTTCAGCAGCAGGGACTAAGCAAGAAAGGCATTCCAGATGTGGTCTGGGATATTGTTGAATACCTGACTCAGCACGGTAAGATCCTACTTCATTCCTTGTATTTTAAAAACAATAGCAGAAAGGTATCATATTAAGGGTATAGCTGTTCTACTAGCATATACTTATTAAATGTCATTATAATTATAGAGTTGGAAGAGGCCCCAAAGATCATCCAATTCAAACCTGACATGCAGGAAAATGCAACCAAGGCACTCCTGACAGATGGCCATCCACCCCCTTTTTAAAACCTCTAGAGGAGGAAATTCTATCACACTCCAAGGCAGCATATTCCACTGTTGAACAACTCTTATACTCAGGATGATCTTCCTAATATTTAGTTGTAATTCTTTTCCTGCAGTTTGAAACCATTGCTGTATCCAGACAGGCCTTTATCCCAGGAGAATCTGCGTTTTAAAAAAGGGCGCGCTTTCTGGGTTGGTTGTATAGACGTTCTTTCAGGACTAGCCCAAGAGAACGCCTGAAAGCCATCCCCCCCCCAAGCCCCCAGACCCCTTAGAAAAGAAATAAAAACTTACGTGGCCTCCATTACAAGCCTCAGCCAGCTCTCCCAGTGCATAGAAATGATGCACAAGGGGAACGGGGGGAGGGGATTTTCCTCCCTCCTCCCCCCCCCCTCCGCTCTCCTGGTGCGTCATTTCTACATGCTGGGGGAGGCCACATAAGTTTTTATTACTTTTCTAAGAGGTCTGGGGGCTTGGGGTGAGGGGCAGGTGGGTATTCTCACAGTTTACTGGGCTTATTTAGCCTGGTAAACTGTGGGAATACTGTCCGGACTTCAGTATTCTGCAATCCTGAATTGGAAATAGTGGGTTTATCCCGTGCCTTCCAAGAAGGTTCAGAATAAACCAACTAACTAATTAATTCACTACAAACCAGAGTTTTCCTGGTTTGTAGCAAATTAATTCGGGACTGTCCAGAACAAACCAGGGTTTTCCTGGTTTTTAGCAAATTAATTCGGGACTGTACAGAATGTTGTCTGGACAGCCCCTCTGTTATTGAGGTAGATACCACAATAAAGGTCCTATCTGGATAGGCCCCTAGTCTTCAAAGCAGCAGGAGAAAAAAAGCTTGCCGCTTCCTCAGTATAACATCTTTTCAAATATTTGAATGTGGCTGTCATGTCCCCTCTTAACCTTCTTTTCTCCAAGTTAAACATTCCCAACGCCATTCCTCATGGCTTCCAGACATTTTCTGAAATTCAAAAATCCAAAAGTGTCCACTTGGGTGGCTGAGATAGTGACACCTTTGCTTTTTAATGGTTCAGCCAAAACCTTGTTGCATGCACATAACCTTTAGTCTATGTGTATAAGACATCAATGAATGTCATGTTTAGATTTGGTTCCCATCTCCAAGATATCTCATTATGTATGGGTATGCAAATACCAAAAGTGCTTGGGATGTTGTTGTTTTTTCTTTATGCAAATACTATGAAAACATACAAATTCCCAAACACTTCTGGTATTTGCATATGCATACATAACATATACAGTTATTTGCATATATGAAAACATAGGAAATCCCAAACATTACTGGTTCCAGGCATTTCAAATTCTTGTTTACAAAGCACGTAAAAGTTGCTTTTGGGGAAAATGCTGGGAGTCTGAAATTTATGGATGCTCACTATGCTCTCTATTAGGGCCGTGGTGGCACAGCGGGTTAAACCGCTAAGCTGCAGAACTTGCTGAATGAAAGGTCACCATTTCAAATCCATGGACTGGGTGAGCTCCTGTTATTAGCTCAATGTGTCAATCAATGTGAATAGATCAATAGGTACCGCTCCCGTGAGAAGGTAACGGCACTCCTTGCAGTCATGCTGGCCACATGACCTTGTAAGTGTCTATGGACAACGCCAACTCTTCGGCTTCAAAATGGAGATGAGCACAAACCCCCAGTCGAACATGACTAGACAATGTCAAATGGAAACCTTTGCCACTGTGATGTGGAATTATGTTTAATCCTCCTGTCAGAATAACACTTTCCAGGGACTATTAACGTAGGATACATTGATATTGCAGAGGTGTGTATATTTATTTTATCTTTGCATCTCACCTCTTTTATTTTCTTGGAATTCCAGGCTTGCTTAGCTTCAGCAAGTTACTTGCATTATTTGCCTTTGTCCAGGTTTTTATACCAATTTTGCTTTTCAGAAGTGGAAGGAAAACATTTCCTTCCCCACTATCCTCGGGACCTCCTATATTTGACTTAGCTAAAAAGAAGACAAGCAAGTTCATGAACAATGTCTTTTCTTTAACTCAAACTGCTGTGGCTCGATGCTAAGATGTTTTTAGTGAGGCAGCACCACTCTTTGGCAGAGAAGCATGAAAACCTTGTAAAACTACAACTCCCATTGATTCCATAGCATTGAGCCATGTAGTTGGACCCCAAGTGAAGTCCTGGTTTTGTATGGTTAGTATTAGTTTTTCTTATCCTAGTTTGAAATCTTATTGCAACAACACTTCTACATTTGACATCAGTCAGATTATCCTGTCCATACTTTGAGATCATTTTTGGTGGTCCTACTTGAGAGAAAAAGGAAGGAGAGAGAGAGAGAGAGTCAGAGAGAGAGACTTATTTAATCTGACATGAATATGGATTAAATCCTCTGCTTGTTTTGTTTTTGAAACTTTGAGCTACAGCTTTGCTCTTTGATGCTAAGGTGCTGTCTTCTAGAAATAAATTCATTTGTCAAGGCCATGGACCTGAAAGCTGGGCAATGAAATAGTCAGGTAAATAGATAGATTTCATAAAACATAGAAACTTTTATAAAGAACCAAGTCTAGGTGTAACACCAAACAAAGTTTTAGCAAACAACTAGTTTGCACATGGGAGGTGCAGTGTCCTTTTTACAGAATGTGCATTTTCTTTGCTCTTCTTGTTTCTCATGCGATTTGATGATAACAAAGTAACAAGCTAAATATTTTTGGGTTAAACATAAGTAACACTTTGTGAAGTTGTGTTGCATTTCAAGATGCCCCATGTCCTCCTCTCCCCCCCCCCCCTCATTTTTTATGTCTTTTTGTTTTGAAAGTGGCCTTTTGTCTGCAGGATGTAATGGTTACCCAGCTTTTTGGCTTTTTAGCCTACAGTTATTAGCTGGATGGTCTTGGCACTTGTAATGCAAAAAATGACTTCTCAGAGCTCAATCTGTGGGTTTCTGCAGACAGGACAAATGTATTGGAAAGCTGCATATTAGTTACTATAGGTGTCATGATATGCAGAAACTTCCGCAATAAAAAGGGGGCTGAACAGATGACATTCTGGGCAGTCCCACATTAATTTGGCACAAACCAGGAAAACCCTTGTTTGTGCCGAATTAATTTGTTAGTGATTTATTCCAGTGCTTCCAGGTCTGGACTGCAGAATACCATTCCCACAATTTACTGGGCCAAGTAAGCCCGGTAAACTGTGGGAATACCCACCGCTCCCCCCAAGACCCCTTAGAAAAGTAGTAAAAACTTACCAATCATCCATCAGAAACCTCAGCAAGTACTCCCTGTGCATAGAAATGACATGCCAGGACAGTGGGGAGGAGGAGGGAAAATCACTCCTTCCCCCTCCTGCTCTCCTGGCACATCATTTCTACACACTGGGAGAGTTTGCCAAGGGTTCTAATGGACGATAGGTATGTTTTTACTACTTTTCTAAGGGGCCTGGGGGCTTGGGGGAGAGGGGTAGCGCCTCTGGACATTATCTCGGGCTAGTCCCAAGAGAACGTCTGGACACCCCCACCAGAAAGTGCGCGTTGCTGATGGAACCACCTGGATAGATAGATAGATAGATAGATAGATAGATAGATAGATAGATAGGCAAGCAGGCATGCAAACATAAGCATGCATACAGACATATGCATACATACATGTACGTACCGAAACGAATACATACATGCAAGTGCCCTAGAAATAGCTACAAACTACCACTGTACCACCCCACTGTGCAACAAGAATAAAGGTGGTAAGAACTGGAAAAGCTCAGCAAAACCCAAGGGGCTGTTCTGCAAGAAGTCAAACTTCTTTGAATCAATTTGGAGGATCAGTGTGATTTGATTTGGATCAGTGTGATTTGATTTGGATCAGTGTGATTTGATCTAAGCCCAGGGTTCAAGTTTGCATATGACTGAGGAAACCCACTGGTGACCTTGGGCAAGTCACACTCTCTAAGTCGCAGAGAAAGGCAAAGGCAATTGGAAACAACTTAATGCCAAACACTAACAACAGCTATGGAAGCATTTATAGTAAAGGTAAAGGTTTCCCTTGACATTAAGTCTAGTTGTGCCTGACTTGGAAAAGTGAAACTCATCTCCATTTTAAGCCAAGGAGCCAGCATTGTCCATAGATGCCTCCTAGGTCATGTGACTGGCATGAATGAATGGAGTGCCGTTAACCTTCCCGCCGGGGCAGTATCTATTGTTCTACTCACATTTGCATGTTTTTGAACTGCTAGGTTAGCAGGATCTGGGGCTGACAGTGGGAGCTCACTCCATCCCACGGATTTGAACCACTAACCTTCAGGTCAGCAAGTTAAGCAGCTCAGCGGTTTAACCCGTTGCACCACCACAACCCATGGAAATATTTATACTAGTTCTGATTTAAGTACTTACTGTCTGCAATGTCTCATCATGGCCAGCAGGTGTCAGTATTGGATTTCTCCAATTCAGCCTCAAAAGTTCCAACACTGCAGGATATTCAAAACTTTTTGCATATATTATACCAATCCTTATTATAACCGCTTTGCCAGGCAGGCCAATATGGCTGTCTCTGTATGGTGGATACTCTTGGAGATTAAGTGACTTGCATACAGCAATTTTGTGATTTTTGTGAAAGAAAGACAATTGAATACAGTACTCTCTTTTTCAACATTGTGTGTTACTCTCTTCTCTCTCTAGTAGTAGTTGCATTTATAAAATATATAAGCTGTCATTCCTCTGCAAGGATCCTAACTAGGTCCCTGTATCCACTGCCATTACATTTCTGACAGGACCAAGGTTATCTGAAACTACAAATATGACCAAATACAGTACCATTAAATTTCCTAACTTCCAATCCCAGCATACTATAAAGTTGTACTGGAGGATCTAGCAATTTCTGGAGATATATATATATATATATTTAAATATTTGTTAAGTACCCTATGGTAACTTCTGGGGGAGACACATGATAAAAGTGCCTGAAATATCTTACAAATTCCTAAAGAGACCGTTTTCCCCAGGTTCGGGTAAGTGAAACTGGATATGAGTGCCATGGTTATGGGAGTCTCAGGCTATTATTATGATCCTTTTCTAAAATAAGCATTAAGTAAAAAATAAAACCTTATACACACTAGAAAAGTATGTCCAGCTCATTCCTGCTTATGCTCATTTGAGATGAAACACAGTTGCACAGAGTATGCAAGTCTAACATATGAAGAAATTACACAAATATTTCTACAATGCTTTTGAAGGTACTCCTCTTGCCCTGAAATTTCATCCTCTTGGTAGATTGGAGAGGAATGGCCAGGCTTGGAGATATGAGAGCCCTGTTTGAAGTTGTTCGGTCCCTGTCTGCACATGTGGCTTTTCCTACTTTATGCTTGACTGTGACTCTGCCCTATTTGTTTACAGTTCTTTTTGGAAGTTGTTAAGTGCCCATTCTATTTACAATGTATGCATTTTACTTCAAATTTTATGGCATATGTTGTATAAACCGATTGGAGATTTTATTATATTATGTCAGGGGTGAGGAACCTTAGACCCACCAGATGGCTTGGGATGGCAACACTCACAATCCCTTTCACTTTCTGGAAGACCAAAAGCCTTGTCTTAAGCATTATAGATAAATGGATGTGCAGACTTCATTTTTTGCCTCTTGTTCACTGTTTTAGGTGGGGAAAAACTGACTGAGGAATCGGCTATATTTAGCATTGGCCATCCGTTGGTTTCTTGGCAGTGTATTTGTAATGCAGGGTAATGGGTGCGCTGGTTATTTTGACTCCTTTCGAATATGTAATTACAGGTCTAAAACAAGAAGGGCTGTTCAGGGTGAATGGCAGTCTGAAAACAGTGGAACAGTTGCGCCTGAAGTACGAGAGCGGAGAGGAAGTGGACCTGGTGGCCGACGGAGACGTCAGCTCAGCTGCCAGTTTGCTGAAACTATTTCTCAGGGAGCTGCCAGACCGCGTGATCACTTCTGCGGCACACCCCAAATTCATGCAGCTGTACCAAGGTGACAATTTTTCATCATTCCTACACATAGTATTCATATAATCAAAGTTGGGAGAAACTCCAAGGGGCCATCTAGTCCAACCCCATTCTGCCATGTAGGAATACACAATCAAAGCACTTCTGACAGATGGCCATCCAGTCGCTGCGTAAAAGAAATCCCATCTCACTCTAACTTCCACTGTCTGGAAGGTCTTCCTAATGTTTAAGTGGAATCTTTTCCCCTATAGTTTGAATCCATTGCTCTGTGCCCCAGTCTCCAGAGCAATAGAAAACAATGCAACGCCCTTTCAAATATTTAAACATGGCTATTATGTCCCCTCTCTGCCTTCTTTTCTTCGAACATTGAATCAATTGTAGTATTGTGGTTGGAGTGTGATACTAAGACTCCAGAAGAACAGGGTCCAAATCCTCCCTCCTGTATGGAAAGCCACTACAGTAAGTGACCTTGTGAAAGTCACTTTCTCAGCCACAGAGAAAAGTAATGGCAAACAACCACCATCCTGAACAAAACCTTGCAAAGAAAATCCTATCATAAGATTACCTCAGTGTTGCCAAAAGTCAGAACCAACTTGAAGTGCACATGACATAGAAATCTAAGATATATCCTATACACATTCCTTGGTTGATCCACTAGGCCAGTGGTTCCCAACCTTTTTTGGCCAGGGACCACTTGACCAGAGACCACTTTGACCAGGGACCATTCTCCAATATTAGTATCAATTAGATTCAGTTTGGTTATTTGGGGTGCTGATCCAGAAAATTGCATTGAATAGACCACATCAGTTCTAGTTTCAGAAACAGAGCATATGCCATCCAGTGGTCACCATCTCACCCACAGAAAACCATATTCAATAAGCCTTGACAATGTTAGAGGATTTCACAAGAACAGTCGCTGTTGTTGCAACAGTGTAGAAATGGTGAGGCCGCGGACTATATTTTAGTTCTTGCAAACCACTGGTGGACCATGGACCACAGGTTGGGAACCACTGCACTAGACACAAAGATGCGTTTAGAGTATTTAATCATTATCTCCATTGCAGCAGTTTCATTTTCATTTTGGGAAGCCTGAAACAAAAGTGCTGAAAGTTTACACTTCAAAGAATCCATATACCCAGTTGTTGTTTATTCGTTCAGTCACTTCCGACTCTTCATGGACCAGCCCACGCCAGAGCTCCCTGTCAGCCATGGCCACCCCCAGCTCCTTCAAGACCAAGCCAGTCACTTCAAGGAGACCATCCATCCATCTTACTCTTGGTCGACCCCTCTTCCTTTTTCCCTTCCATTTTCCCCAGAATCATTATTTTCTCTAAGCTTTCGTGTCTTCTCATTATGTGGCAAAAGTACTTCATCTTTGCTTCTAATATACTTCCCTCCAGTTAGCAGTCAGGCATTATTTCCTGGAGTATGGACTGGTTGGATCTTCTGGAGGTCCAAGGCACTCTCAGAATTTTCCTCCAACACTACAGTTCAAAAGCGTCTCTCTTCCTTCTCTCAGCCTTCCTTATGGTCCAGCTCTCACATCCATAGGTTACTAAGGGGAATACCATTGCTTTAACTATGTGGATCTTCATCGCCAGTGTGATATCTCTACTCTTCACTATTTTATCATATACTAGCTGTGCCCTGCCACGCGTTGCTGTGGCCTATAGTAAAACTTATCAAAGTTGAGGTAGATATCTGGACTATTATGAAAGAGAGGTACCTACCTATTCCTTCCCCCTTTTCCTCCCCATTTCTCTCCTTTCTTCCTTCTCTACCTCTTTCTTTCTTTCACTACTTGGTTTCATCCTTCTCTCTTTCCTTCATTCCCTCCCCCTTTCTTCCTTTGCCTTTCTTCCCTCCCTGTTTGCTTCCTTCTTTCACTTTTTATTTCCTTTTATTTTACCACCATCATAACAATAACAATAATGCAATGCATTGCCTCTGGGACCTGACACCTCTCCCATTCCCCCAGGGTCTCATAGGAACAATAGCATAATAATAATAATAATAATAATAATAATAATAATAAAATAATAATAATAATAATAGAAATAACAACTTTTACCCGCCACGTGTTGCTGTGGCCGATCTTCCCTCTTTCTCTCCTTCTTTCCCTCCTTCCTTCCTTCCTTCCCTCCCATCTTTCCTTCTCCTCTTCTTTCTCTATCTCTTTCCTTCCTTCCCCCTTTTTCTTTCTTTTCTGCTGTCTCTCTTTCTTTCCTTCCATCTTTCCTCTTTCCTTTTCTTCTTCCCTCTCCTCTTCCTCCTTCCCCTTTTTCTTTACTCCCTCTTCTTTCTCTCTTTCCTTCCTTCCTGTCTTTCCTAGATTTTGACAGGGCGGGGGAAGGGGCGGGGTGGGGTTTGGTGGTGGCGTGAAGTAAAAGGAGGTAAGATTGGGGGGGGAGTGATGGAGCGTGGGGTTGTGTGTGTGTGTGCGGCGGTGGGGGGGAGTGATGGAGCGTGGGGTTGCGTGTGTGTGTGCGGCGGCGGGGGAGGGGGGTTGCGTGTGTGTGTGCGGCGGCGGGGGGAGTGGGGTTGCATGTGTGCGTGCGGCAGCGGGGGAAGTGATGGAGTGTGGGGTTGCGTGTGTGTGTGCGGCGGCGGGGGGAGTGGGGTTGCGTGTGTGTGTGCGGCGGCGGGGGGAGTGATGGAGTGTGGGGTTGTGTGTGTATGTGCGGCAGGGGGTGTGTGTGTGCGGGAAGCGGCGCGGCGGGGCTTGGAGTGGGCATGGTTTCCGCAGAGGGAACGTTGGCCGGAAGGGCATGTGCGCGCGCCAGGGAACTTGCGGCTGGGCGCCAATGCGCATGCTCAGTTGTTTTGCCATTTTGTGAGTGTGTTGTTGTGTTGTTTTTCATTTAGAGTAGATACGTTTGTACCTTGTGGGTTGTGTTATGGGCATGGGAATTTTGGTTAAGTTTCGTTGGGGTTTTTTTGAGTTTTGTTTTTTTGCCGTTTTGAGTGTGTTGTTGTGTTGTTTTTCATTTTGAGTAATATGTTTGTACCTTGTGGGTTGTGTTATGAGCATGGGAATTTTGGTTAAGTTTCGTTGGGGGATTTTTTGAGTTTTATCCTTTTGCCATTTTGTGAGTGTGTTGTTGTGTTGTTTTTCATTTTGAGTAGATATGTTTGTACCTTGTGGGTTGTGTTATGGGCATGGGAATTTTGGTTAAGTTTCGTTGGGGGAGTTTTGAGTTTTGTTGTTTTGCCGTTTTGTGAGTGTGTTGTTGTGTTGTTTTTCATTTTGAGTAGATATGTTTGTACCTTGTGGGTTGTGTTATGGGCATGGGAATTTTGGTTAAGTTTCGTTGGGGTTTTTGAGTTTTGTTTCCTCGTTGGATGCCCCTAACAAATTTATATATATAGATGCCCAGTTACAGAAATGCAAATTCTGTCATTAAAAATAAAGTGTGTGAGTGAATGTCAGGGCCAGCCTTACCGTTAGGTAAAGCAAGATAGTGGCCTGCGGTGTCATATGCAGTGGTGAGATGGTACCAGGATATTTCACCTTCTCAATTTTAATAAACTACACTGCCCCAAATGCCTTATGTGACTGCTGGAAAGAGTAAAATTCAGACAACTAAATGGTTAGTCTTGATAAACAAATAAATGCAAGGAAATGTATTTTCTTGAATTTGATTACTTCACTTCTTCTGATTGCAAAATATCTGGAAACAAAATACAACAAAGGAGAGCACATGTGTTACAAGTGAAAGATTGATTTCCCTTACATCACCAGCTAGGGGTGGGGAAATTTATTTTTTGGAACCAGAGAGAGCCATTACCAGGCAGTATGAGCAATAGTGACTAGATGTACAGACTGCGCATAAGCTAACTTCTTGGGTTCATACTGATCAGGAGAGGTTCATGACTCAGTAGCAGACCAACTATCTTGCATGCAGAAGTTTTGCAAGTATGAGGAGGAGGATAATAAGCTTTCCATATGTATAATGTGCATAATATATGCCAGTCTCCAGATTCAGCTTTTTGGTAAATGCATTGAGAACATTTTACTGCCTTCAGGTATAAGTATAAAAGGGATAATGGCCATAATCTAGCACAGGGGTCCTCAAACTAAGGCCCAGGGGCCGAATACGGCCCTCCAAGGTCATTTACCTGGCCCTCAGTCAGGGAAAAGCAAACAACAACAATCCTATCTCATCAGCCAAAAGCAGGCCCACACTTCCCACTGAAATACTAATAAGTTTATATTTGTTAAAATTGTTCTTCATTTTAATTATTGTAATATTTTAAAGTGTTTTTGCACTAAAAGTAAGATATGTGCAGTGTGTATAGGAATTCATTCATATATATTTTTTGCAATTGTAATCCGGCCCTCCAACAGTTTGAGGGACTGTGACCTGGTCCTCTGTTTAAAAAGTTTGAGGACCCCTGATCTAGCATATCCATGGGCAAAAGTCAAAGGTTCAAATTTGGGGAGAAGGGGTGAGCTCCTGCTATTAGCCCCAGCTTCTGCCAACCTATCAGTTTGAACACATGCAAATGTGAGTAGATCAATAGGTACTGCTTTGGTGGGAAGGTAACGATGCTCCATGCACTCATGGACCCACATGCCGGCTCTTTGGCTTAGAAATGGAGATGAGCACCACCATCCAGAGTTGGACATGACTAGACTTAATGTTAAGGAGAAACCTTTACCTTTTTTAACAGTCTTTCTTCTAGCTGTGTTGCTTTTCTGTCTACATAAAATAAATGTCAGCCCTCCATATCCATGGATTCTGCATCTACATGTCATCCATGGCTTGAAAATGTTCAAAACAATATAGAAAACAAACATTGATTTGGCCCTTTTATATAAGGGAAACTACACAATTGCATATGATGGGTCTAGCTTCTACTGATTTTGGTATCCAGGGGCATCCTAGAACCAAGCCCCAACAGCTACCAAAATCCCACTAAATTTTGAATGGAGGAGCATTCAGATGTGTGGTTGAAGATGACGGAGTCCAGATATAGATTTATCAGCTCAATGTCAACCACATATCCTCAAGGTCTGTCTGT